CAAAGGTCCGTGACCTCCCTGGGTCCTGCCAGGGGTGGGTGCTGCTGGGGGGCAGCGTGTTTGGGGTGCCTGGGAGGGCAGGGCTGAGTTTGGGCAGGGCACAGACAGTCCCCAGGCCCACCCTGCTGCAGCTCTACGTGCCCTGAGCATCCTCCTCCTCCTCCTCCTCCTCCTCCTTCAGCATGGCAACAGGGAGCCCTGCCCACTGCCAGGCACCAGCCCCTGCACCCCACGGGTTTGGGAGGGCTTTAATTTGGGAATGGGCAGAGCTGGGGCTCGGGCAGCCATGGGACAGGGCTCCCCTTGCAGAGGGCCAAGGGGGGATGGAGGTGCTGCTGCAGGAACCCCAGGAGCCCCTTGTCATGTCAGAGAACATGTCAGAGAGCTCTGGGTGTGGAAGTTGGGGTGGTACCTCCACCAGGAGAGGTTTAGATTGGATATTAGGAGAAGTTTCTTTCCTGCAAGAGTTGCCCAGGGCTGTGCCAGGCTGCCCAGGGTAGTGGTGGAGTCCCCACCCCTGGAGGGGTTTCCAAGCCGTGGAGATGTGGTGTGAGGGACACAGGAGGGCCCCCAGGGAGCTCCCTGCAGGGCTGCTCGGGGGCAGTGGCCACCCCAAGGCCTGGGCTGTAGGTAGGAAGCTGCTGGTGCCTGTCCTGCCCTCGGGGCTGGGCACAGGAGGTGCTGGGGCCCTGGGGACCAGGGGCAGCCTCGGCACAAACCAGCAGCAGCCAAAGCCCCCACCAGTGGGAGGGCTGGCAACAGGGCAGCCTCAGCACAAACCAGCAGCAGCCAACGCTCCCACCAGTGGGAGGGCTGGAAAAGGGCTTGGCAGGAGGCAGGGGGGTCAAGGCAGGGGACACAGCCTGGCAGGGGACAGTCCCAGCTGCCCAGGGACAGGAGGAAGAGGAGTGCCTTGGGCTGGGGCTTCCACACAAACACAAGCCACAGAGAGGACCCGAGTTGCTCAGGGGGAGCAGAGAGGCCCCAGCGAGCCCAGACCACCCCAGTGCTGCCCATCCTGGGGGTTATGCTGCCAACCAGGGGCAGAGGGGACCACCCCTGGCCCACATCTGCCCCCAGATGCCACTCTCTGCTGCTCCCCTTCTTGCTTCTCTCAGTCAACATGGACTTGAACACCTCAAGCTGCAGCATCTGCCAGCAGGGAGCAGCTGGGAGAGGTGCAGGAGGATCAGGGGGTGCTCAGGAAGATGGGCTGTGGAGAATGAACCTCGAGAGGCTGTGGTCTCACTTGCTCCTGGCTGCAGAGCCCCCCCAGCCTCCCCTGGCAGGAGGGAGGTCATGCCAATCCCACTCACGTTGCTGATCTGATCCTGAGTCTTTTTGATCCTCTGCAGCTCCGGGGTGTCGGCCACCACGCTGAAACCTTTCCCCTTGTTCTTCTCAAACTCCTCCTTGTAGCGAATCTGGGCAGGAAGAAGAGAAAAAACAGACTGAAACAGGGGGTGGGCACAGCAGCTGGACTCAGCAGCAGACCCTCACCACCAGCCGTGGGCTTCAGGAGCTGCAGCAGCTGCTGCCAGGCTCTGCCTTGCCCAGGAGAGCCCCAAGGTCTCCAGGAATAGCCAAAGGGGGTTCAGCCAAGAGCAGACACACACAAACAGCTTCCCACACGTCTGCCAACCTTGTTTCTCTTTCAGCAGGCACTCAGATAACTTGGGTTGACTTGGGAGTTTCCCAGAGTGCCCCTCTCTAACACGTGGCACAGCGGGCAGGGCCAACGTGCCCAGGTCAGAGCCCACCAGCTGGAGCTGTGGGCAGGCAGCACACCCCAGAGCAGGTCCTGACCCGGGGTCCCCCTTCTGCAGGGGGGGTGTCTGCAGTCCCAGGCCCTGCCAGGAGGCTGGGGGGGCTCAGGGGCTGCAGTGCCCCCAGCTCGGGGGGCTCTGGCTGGAGCAGGGAGAGGTGCCAGGCACCAGCTCTGCAGTGGGCACCCACAGGAGCTGGGGCTGTCTG